CCTTGCACACAAATGGTCCTTATGACTAACTTTGTTAGCAGATTCTATTAAGTTTTGTTAAATGACAAAAATTCCCTTTGTTTTATGCTCATAGATGGTACCCCCCTCTCTCTCTCTCACACATACAGACACACACACATACCCAAAAGATAGAATCACCATCATCTTCTTCAATATCCTCATCTTCTTCAAAAACCCTAATTTCCTTCGATACCTAACTAACCCATCGGTCACCGCCCCTCCTTCCAACTCACCCATGGGCTTCCTGTCTTCCCTTTCTCTCTCCCCGTCTCTCTCAAGATAAAAAAAAGTCCACCCACTCATAATCTTCTTCCCCATCCCTTCCCTCCATTGATGAATAAAAGAACAAGAACCCTTCTAATCCTCGTTCCAGATCTCACGGCAAGCTTCTTCCTAATTATCTTCTAAGACAAAGAAAATCAAAGAAATATGACAAACGCGTTTATGATTTAGCGGTCGATTAGAAAGAAGAAATGGGTCAGGGAGTTCATCGGTGGTTAGGCTGTAATGGGAAAAAAAAGAAAAGAAATGTCGATGGTTTCAGGAAGTTTAACAACTTCTAACCCTCGATCTCCCTCTCTATTATTGCTTCTTGATCTGTCTTATCTCACTGAAACTGAATTACATGTTTAATTTTATAGGTTTCATCGAATAATTGCAATTATTCAATCTCGTTTTGTCAGTATGTTTTCTTGCTTGATTAAGAATTTTGAAAAAAGAAGTGTTGTGATAACTTATCAAGAGAAAACATAAGATTACAGAAAGAATATTAAGAATTGATTTGCAGGTTTCATTATTGTAGGTTTCACCCTCATCCTGTACACTTTCTGTGTGAGTGTGTTCTTCATTTCCAAAATCGAACCAAAAGTCCAACTGTATCTCCCTCTTTTTGTTCTAAAAATCTGATAAGCTCCACTCCTTAGTCGTTGCAAATGTGGGTTTCATCTGTTCATATAGGGTTCGAGAAGCAAAAGAGGAATGTTTATTTGTTTATCTGGGTTTTTTATTCATCTCAGTTCATCTATGTTTATTTATTTTTCAATGCATGTATGTATGTATGTGAGATTTTTGAGAGAGAGAGAGAGAGAGATATGTATGTTGATTTCTAGATTTAAAGTTTTTTTTTTATTTTTGTTTTCTTTGGTGTGTATGTATGAGAGATAACAGATAGGTAGAGATAGAATAAATGGTGGTGGTGGTGGCAGAGAGTGGTGGCTGACGGTGGTGGGTCGATATTTGTTTGTGTGGGAAAGAAGAAAGGATGAGAGGAAGAAGATGATGGTGGAGATTGTGATTGTGTTCATGAGAGAGAGAGAGGACCATGAGAGAGAGAGAGAGAGGACCATCTGTGTGCATAAAACAAAGGATATTTTTGTCATTTAACAAAATTTAACAGTACCTGTTAACAAAGTTAGTCACAATGACCATTTGTGTGCAAGGTTTGCTCCGTAGGGACCATCTAAGGGAAAAAAGTTTCGTAGGGACCATATCAGGGAAAAACTATAAAGCTAAATGACCATTCGTGTAATTTGTTCAATATTTTTTCATAAATACCCAGATTAAGAGCGAAGGATTATAATGAGATATCTTATTAAGATCGAAAGATTATTCTCTCTTTTGGTCCCACTAAGTTAACATATCTTATTATTATTATTATTATTTTTCTTTGTAATAATTATAAAACTGATTAATATAATGAGGAAGTTTATCGCTTATTGATATCGAAGGATTATAATGAGATTATTCCCTCTTTTGGTATAATGAGGAAGATTGTAATACTTATAACCCATACAATTAATCAAGGGTATTAAAAAAAAAACCAACTCGATGAACAGTTCTGCGGTGCTGCTAAGGAGGTTCGCAAAGGCACCTCCGTCGAACTGTTCATCGAGTTTATTTTTTTTCATTAATACCTCAAATTTAATTACGATTTTGTCATTCCGTAGAGCTACAGGGGATTTCGTTAAGCCCTCAGAGCTCACCTCCGCGGAATCTATCTATATCCGTAAATCCGATTTTTTTATCTATTTTTTGGAATTCAACTCTAAAAAATGTCTATAGTCGATATTTTCCCAAAATTGCTACGTATGTTGGATTCTCTAATGATAATCTTTTTTGTAGATTAAATATTAATAATTAATTCTAAAAGTAATTTTTACCATTAGAGAATGCATTGCTTTTTGGGTTGCAATTCAAACATTTTCGTCTTACTAGATGTATTGTGAGATTTACCTCATTTGTTCGATAAAGTATCATTTTATTTTCTTATTATATTTATAATTTAAAATTTGTTATTTCTTTTTGAATACTGTTTTTTTTATTTTAATCTATAATATTAAATATTATATTTGTAATGGTTATATGATATTTTCATCGTTTTTTATTTATTAAATGATAATTTTGTCGTATTTATTTAACATTATTCTTCCTTTGTGTCATTTTATTTGTATAAAAAGAAAACATTATTGGTGTTATATGTTATAAAATCTCATCATCTTTATATAATATTTCATATTTTTTCCTTCAACTATGTCTGCAACGCAATATGATCATCATGCAATTTTTGGTACAAGTAATAACTAATAAGTTCATCATCAGTGAATAATCGGTGATCAAGGAAAAAAACATTCATCTAGGTCATGCAGAAAGACACATTCGTCTTGTTGCATATTACTTTTTCCATCAACAAGTTTTCCCACCTAAGATCTTTAGAGGGAGATTTGTTTTTACATGACAATCAACATATGGAATACCAACTGATCAAAACAAAGAAAATGTCAAAATATAAGAAAGTATTGCTATTTAATGTCTAAATAAATTATGTCTATGTCTAGCTGAAAATTTGGCATTGTATACATGAGAACACCAAATACCGAAGATATTAAGTGCATACTTCATTTGCATAAATAATACCATGGGTTTTCATCTATAATTTATTTGAAATATTCCACATCTAATAAGTCATTCAAATATGAGCATGTATATATGAACAATCATTAAAGCCAAACTCAAATAAAATGAGGGAAGTGTAAACAATGTTCATACGAAGGAAAGAAAGACTAGCCCGTCTAATTACACACCACCATCAAGTGCACAAAAATGCATCAACATTAAAGATGATGAAACAAAGTACGCCCCATGGGAAAGAAACATGCATAAACGAAACATAAAGGAAAATCGACTACCTCAGGCAACGAAGTGAGTGAGAGAATAGATTTGATTAACAAAGCTAACACGATACATAACTATGAGATAAATGAAGCAACAAAACAAAAGAAGGAGATAAACGAATCAATCAAGCTTTGAAGATAATAACAAATTATGTAGGAAAATACGCAAGACATGGGTAACAAACAACTTGCATATGATCAAATGTTATGCGATGACATAAAATACGAAACATTGGCTCTAGATTTAGTGGTATCTTGTTTAATTTCGTATATCCTAATATAATGATTTAATGTAATGTTATTATTATGTACTTTTTAGTTTTATTAATATTACTTATGCTTAATAAATAATAAATCAGATGATTAGGCTTTATAAAATATTTCATAAAGATGATGGTATATTAGTTAACTTTAAAAAAAAACCTTTTAAAAAATGGTCAATGGTTGGAAAATGTTTTAGTTAATAACAATTTTCTTTTAACAAAATTATTGGCATATGACATGATAAAACAAAAAAAAAAAAAAAACTTCTTAGATGATTGGTGGCGCTCTTATAGAGTTTTAGTCATGCACCCATGCTAAATTTGACCGGTTCGGTTATATTTTGTGGTGGACCTCTATCTTATAAATTTAATTGTTTAATGATCGACCATTACAAAAAGAAAAACTAACAAGGTTTAGTTTTATACCATTACGAAAGATTAAGGATGAAAAATGTAAATATCAATCCAATCAAGAAAACGTTGTCTTGCAATCTTGCATGCCATGTTAGACTTGGGTCCCAAAGGCCTTAAAAAATTGATGATGGCTCATGGCTTTTAGCCTGTTATTGTTATTATTAATAATAATAAGATCAAGTGGATTACATTTTACATGCATATTGCATAAAAGTCTTGGTCAAACATACACCAATAAATACCGTACAATCTTTTTCCATTTCAAACCTACAAATCTAACGACTCCCTATAGATACCAGTTGAACTAAACGGACCTTGAAGAATAACAATTCTCGAATATATTCGATATTTATATAATATATCTTTTAAGTTAATTACTGAATTAGATATTAAACATATTACTATATTAGTAATATACACTTGGTGTCATCTCATCAGAAATAAATAATTGACTTCAAAAGTGGTTGTTAGTTAAATGTTGCTTTAAACATACGCTCTTAATTTTTTAGAAATTTTAAACATATTGAATTACTGATTGGGTTTTACTATAATTCTATCTAATCTAGTTGAAAAGTATTATATTAGTTTCATATGTTGGTTAATAAAGATCTTTTGCTTGAAATTAACCCGATATCTTCAAACTTGAAAAATATAATAAATTTAATGAATGTTAAAATTTATCTGCTACTAACTATTTTTGTCAAATACGTTTTTGGTATCATTCATTGGTTATGTGATCGGCTTAAAACTTAATCTAGACTATTTAATTATTACCAAACATAAACAATACTTTATAATTAATCTTTCAAACGTACGAAACATTATTCCTAGAAAAAAAACTATAAATACTTGTCAATCAAACATAAGATAAGATAATTATTATAAATATTAACAAAATGACAAATAAAAGATGACAAACAAAACATATTATATACTTATTTGGTGTAACAATATATACCCAATTTTCTTATTTTCTCCCCCTTTTTCCAACTAGTCAAGAAACACCCACACGTATCATGTATCTATCACCATTTTAGTAGCTTTCATGTACGACTCTGTTCAAAAGATATTAAAAAAAGAATTTCATGTATGACTACTTGATATAGACCAGCACAACTTGCCATACACAATTGACTTATTTACTCATTTTCTGAATGGATCTTCAAGAATTGCAGCCGATTGCTCTCAAATAGTTTCACACTCATTCATCTCTATCTTCTCATCTCCCTCACCAAACTCTTCACCTCTGCAACAATGGCGGAAAGTATACCCGGATTCATGCTGTTCTTAACTCTCGCCTTTCTCATCTCCCTTCGATTTTCTGAATCCACTGTGCCTCCACAAGAAGGTAAGCTAATTTTTCTCGAATATTATATCAAAAACCCCGTTTTTCTAATCTCACGAACATGGGTTTCCAAACTCTTGATTTATTTCGCCTTCAAATATTAAATTATTGTTTCTTCAAGAATCTTGATTTGCATGCCAAGAAGCAGTTAAGAAGATGGGAGTTGAAAATTTTCTTGGATTTGGGACAATTTCGACCTTTTCTACAAATCCAAATCCAAAAAGTTATCTTTTATTGCAACTTTTAAGAGTTCATACGAATCTTTATAAGCCAAATAGTACATCTTTTCATGATTGAAGGTTTGTTGTTATTGGGTATGATCTAGGGAGTAAACTGAATCCAATGATTATTAAACTAAATCATTCAAATCCCACTTATGAGTAGTTTGACTTTTGTATTTTTACTAATATATACCTCTAAAATCTTTCTTGTAAACTTTGGGTTATAAAAGATATGATTTTTTTTTTTTTTAATTTTTTTTTTCTTCTAATTTGATTCAGTGGTAACTGTCTCAAACATTCTTGCTGACATGAATGCAACAAGTTGGAGATTTAATGGTGAAAGTTGCAATCTTGAAATGATTTTTCAAGTCCCAAGATTATCAAGTGAAGCTAATGCAAGCATCGGATGTGATTGCAACATTGGAAACAATACAGATTGTCATGTCGTAAGGATGTATAAACTACAAAGTCCCTTCTTTTTTTCTATCAGTTTTTATAAAATAAAATATCATTATTTGGTTATAATCTTTAGTATAAAATCATACATTTAATATTTTTCATGTATGCAGCACACACAAGTGGTATAGTCTTGATGGGATACTTTCGCCTGAAATGGCAAAACTTCCTTACCTTCGATCATTGTAAGTCTTGTTTTAGACCATGTGAAATCTCTTTTTTACCCTTTAGTTAGTTAAGTTGGATTTAACAAAATTGGAAGTATTTTAATTTATTCGTTCTATATGCATTATGCAGTGATGTTGCTTACAATTACTTACAAGGCACAATACCACCTGAGTGGGGTCTAACACGGTTGCAAGACATGTAAAATCTCTTTTTTACCCTTTAGTTTCATATATAATCTTTTGTTTATGAGAACTAGAAGTTGAGAAATCTTTATGTCTATCCTTCCATTTGCAGTTCGATTCTTGGAAACCGTATCTCCGGGGCAATCCCACCGGAACTAGGCAATATTACGACTCTCACAAGGCTGTATGTGAAATTCCTTTTTTACCCTTTAACTTTTGTTTTCTGGGCAATTCTGACATTTTACTATAAGGGTCGAATTCTTTTTGCTTTTCTGGTTTGATACACTCATATTTAGTTCAAATTCTTGTTCAGGGACTGTGAAGCAAACTATCTTTCAGGAACAATACCACCCGAATTAGGGAAATTATATAATTTGAAACATTTGTAAGGCTAGCTGTATAATTTATTTATTTATTTATTTTACTTTTTAAGAAAAAATTAGTTATTTACTGAAATTATTAATTTTCAGGATGTTGTCCTCGAACCGGTTTACAGGGAGGCTGCCGCCGGCACTTGGTCAACTAGGAAACCTAACAAATTTGTAAAATGTTTGACTTTATTTGGTTTTGCAATTATTTTTCTGGACAAATTAAATTGAAATTTTTATTTATATTTTCTATTATTTTTTGTATAATACAGTAGGATAAACGAATGCAACTTCAGTGGGCCCATACCTGATTTTATACAGAATTGGAAACAGCTTAACAGATTGTAAGATGTTCTTTTTTTGTAATATGTTACTAGTCAAGTCGTCCAATTTTATTATACACCTTCAAACTGTTTTAACATTATTAAAATTAATTTTACTCTATTTTAAATCTGTGTGAAAACAATGCTACAACAACTTGAACAACTTGTTTATTGTCCTTATTATCGGTTGTCTTTTTGTGCTTAAATTTATATTACAAAGTCATAAATAAATATCCTAATATTCGGATGTTTTTGAAGAGAAATGGTGGCGAGTGGACTCACTGGACCGATTCCTTCAAACATAAATCTTCTCGAGAGCCTAATTGATCTGTGAGTTGACTCACGGGACCCACTTGTTATTTCGTGAATTTTTTTTCCTTATTTTTCTTAAATTTTGTTTAGTTATTAGCTCATGGTGACTCTTATTTTGCAGGAGACTTGGTGACATAACTGGTCCCTCTCAGCAATTTCCTCCCCTTGAAAATGCGACAGCATTAATAAGATTGTATGCATGCAGATAATTCTCAAATTTTGTACTAAATCGTGTATATATTCTGACATTTTGTTTATAAATTTAGGATCTTGAGAATTGCAACCTTTCTGGAGAATTACCGGATTATATTTGGCAAGTGAGAGAACTCGAATTGTTGTAAGTATATGCTAAATGGGTTTCGATTCGATTCTTTTGATTCTCCATGTTATGTATAAATACTTTTTAATGACTTATTTTCGTTAATGAATTTAATATATAGGGATGTAAGTTTTAACAATTTAGTAGGGGGAATATCTGACAGCGTCCTTGGGAGGAGCCTACGATACGTGTAAGTCATAAATATACTATATACTATAACACTAACAGTCACAGTCACAATCACAGTCACAGTCATATTAAAAACCTTAACCAAGTGATACCATCTTAAATAGGTTTTTAACCGGTAACATGCTAAGTGGAGACATACCGGATGAGTTGTTGGTAAACGGGGCTGCTATGTAAGTTTATTTGGTGAATATTTAGAGTAAATTACATGAATGGTCCCTATGGTTTAGGGTAATTTGCGCGCTTGGTCCCTAACTTATTTTTTTAACTCGGAAGGTCTCTATTGTTACTTTTTGTTACACGTTTGGTCCCTACTGTTTGTTTTTGTTACACGCTTGGGCTCTGTCTTACTTAAAAAAAACTATTATTTAAATAGAGAAAAATGGTAGGGTAGGTAAGGTAAGGTAAGGGAGGTGGAATTTGAGGTGTGTTTATTTAAATAAATTAAAAAATCAAGGGAAAAATAGTCTTTTTAGGTAAGACAGGGACCAAACACTTAACAAAAAGAAACAGTAAGGACCTTCCGAGTTAAAAAAATAAGTTAGGGACCAAACGCGCAAATTACCATAAACCGTAGGGATCATTCGTGTAATTTACTCGAATATTTATGTTAAAAGTTTGTCATGCATTCTTTGCTATTAATTAAGAAATTATAACGTTTTATTTGACTAATGTACATGGTTCAGTGATCTTTCCTACAACAATTTTACATGGCAAGAACCTAATCAACCCTCATGCGAACAAAACACGTAAAGACTTCTCATTCAGGCTTTCTCAAATATACAAGTCGATCTTTTGCTTGTTTTATGTATAAATTTATATGTTTTTTTTTATTTTTTATATAAAGTAATATTCCTTTGTTGTTATATTAGGAATACATACGTAAACTTGTTTAGAAGCTCTTCAACCGGAAACCCAATGTAAGAATAAGATAATGTCCGACTTTTCGTTGGTTTTCCTATCATTTATATATCCTTTTCATCCTCCTTTTTTACACATGCATTGATCATGTCTATATGATTTTATTTTTTTCAACAGACAAGATGTGCTTCCATGCAAGGAGGATACCACATGTCGTAGATGTAAGTTTTATTGAAACATCCATATATAGCTTACATGATTAAGTTACTTCCAATTAAGTATGATTTTATATCATATTAATATGTTGATTCTCATATTGTTTTATGGCAGATGCGTGTTCGGTGCACGTTAATTGTGGTGGGAATGATGTGACAGTTAGAGAAAGTAACGGGCAATCGGTTCTTTACAAAGGAGATGCTGACGTGGATGGTGGTGCAGCAAAATTATATGAAAGTGACAAAAATTGGGGATTTAGTAGTACAGGAGACTTCATGGATGATAATGTTTATCAAAACACGCGATACGTTGAATCTTTGCAAGGAAACACGAGCTTACCACAACTGTACACAACCGCACGTCTATCACCAATCACGCTCACTTACTTCAGCTATTGTTTGGAAAACGGGGAGTATTTGGTTAATCTGCACTTTGCAGAGATCGTATTCATTAACGATACTACGTTTAGAAGTCTTGGTCGCCGGATATTTGATATTTATATTCAGGTAATACAATCTGCTATCTGTTATCTGTTATCTGTTATCTATTATTTATTATCTGCTATCTGCCTATTTGTTATCGCTATCTCTGTCTCTTTGTAGTTATCTCTTTCTAATTATCTTTTATCTGCTATCTATTATCTGCTAATTAAGTTGTATGCGATATAGGGACAACGGGTAAAAAGGAATTTCAATATTCAAGAAGCAGCTGGTGGGTTTGGGAGGCCGGTGGTTGTACCGTTCAATGCTAGTGTGACAAATAACATTTTAGAGATACGGTTTTATTGGGCAGGTAAAGGAACGACCCGTTTTCCTAGAAGAGGAGTCTATGGACCTCTTGTATCGGCTATTGATGTTGACCCATGTATGCACTTCAAATATATAATTCATGATTCATCACAAAATTCTCCTCATTTGGTTATTGAATGGTTTGTGCATGTGTTTTTTTAATGTTGTGTAGACTTTAAAACTTGTTCGGAAGGTGGAAAAAAGAAAAACAAAGTTGCGGTTTTTATCGGTGTTGGGGTTGCTGTTCCATGTCTTGTATTGTTGTTGATTTTGATCATTTTGTGGCGGAGAAAAAGTTTCAAAGGGCGAAATAGAGCCAATGACAAAGGTATGGATTTGTCTTTAATCTTTAATCAATTTGATTAAATCTTTTCTCATGAATTTGTTTAAATAACTTTTTTCATGAACAGATTTTGAAGGAATGTCGATGAAAACAATTTCGTTTTCGTATAAACAACTTAAATCAGCTACTGACAACTTTAGCCGTTCGAACAAAATAGGGGAAGGAGGTTTTGGGCCAGTTTACAAGGTTGTAATCGTAAAACAACTCGTTAATTTATGTGATTATGGTTTTTGTGTTTGTTCACATAACATTTTGTATGATGATTTCAGGGTACGTTGGGTGATGGCACTGTGATTGCAGTGAAGCAGCTTTCAGCTCAATCAAGGCAAGGAAACCGTGAGTTCTTGAATGAGATTGGTGTGATTTCATGCTTACAACATCCGAATCTTGTTAAACTCCATGGATGTTGCATTGAAGAAGATCAATTGTTGCTTGTTTATGAGTATATGGAAAATAATAGTCTTGCAAACGCTTTGTTTGGTGAGTGTCTTCTTCAGGATTCTTGTTAAATGATAGCAAAATTTCCATATTTTGTATCGATAATTTGTTTGTTATTAATACAGAGTCGAAAAAAAGTCTTTTGATGCTGGATTGGGCAACGAGGTTCAAGATATGTATTGGGATTGCTAAAGGTTTAGCTTTTCTTCATGAGGAATCAAGGATCAAAATTGTGCATCGGGACATTAAAGCCACAAACGTTTTGCTTGATAAAGATCTGAACCCTAAAATATCAGATTTTGGATTGGCAAGGTTAAATGAGGAGGAGAAGACTCACGTTAGCACCAGAGTTGCTGGAACGATGTAATCCTTCAAATCCGTGCAAAATAGTCTGACAAATTTGGTTATTTAAATAGTTATTTAATGAGATCTTGATCATTATTTGCAGAGGATACATGGCACCTGAGTATGCACTTTGGGGTTACTTGAGCGATAAAGCAGATGTTTATAGCTTTGGAGTCCTGGCGTTGGAGATTGTCAGTGGAAAGAAGAACAACAGTTACGTTCCAATAAACGATTGCATTTGTCTTCTAGATTGGGTATGTTTCGGATTTTCATAGTCAAATCCAAAATTGAATTGAGTTTACTGAAATTTATCTGTAGATTCAATTATTCTCTGAATCGATTATGCAGGCTTGTCGATTGGAAACGAGTAAACAATACGAAGAGCTTTTTGACGAGAGATTAGAGTCGAGAATCAATAAAGAAGAAGCGGAAACCGTGGTGAAAGTAGCGCTTCTGTGCACAAACGGTTCTGCGTCGGTGAGGCCGACGATGACGGAGGTTGTAAGTATGCTCGACGGGAAAACTTGTGTGCCGGAGATAATTCCGGAGTCGAATGAATACTCCGAAGATCTGAGATTCAAAGCGATGAGAGACTTTCGACGTGAGATGAAAGGTCAAAACAGTTACAGCGGCGGTCAAACTCAGACGACTATTCCGACAGGTACGAATTATTCTTTGACGTCTTCTGATGATCAGTTTGAGATCCAATCCGTCGATACCAGATCCTACTGAAGAAGATTGAGGTTCGAATTTTTCGTTTTTGGTTGAACACATATTTTTTAGCAATTAGGGTTTAGATTGTTGGCGCAATACAAAAACACGATCAATTTGAATTTGTGTGTTGTTTCTTGTCTTGCGAGTAGCAAATGGTTTGAAAACATGTCATTGATGATCCGGGGAGAATGGATCACGGCGTCACAGGGCGGCCGGCGGAGACTCTTGTTCCCTCCGGCTTCACATTTTTTTTGTATATTTTATATAATTTGTATAAATCTTAACGAAATAGGCAGCTGTATACTTGTATAACTTGTGTATTCTTATACAAAAAATAATGTTTTTTAGTTTCTCCGAGTAATTAATGAGTGTTAAACTATGAATCATCGAATCAATAGAGTAAAAGAATAATGATTTCAAAAGATAGTATAGTTTAGACCGTATATATTTAGTTAATTATGTTTATTTTTGTATGTATTTAGTCATTATATATATATATATATATATATATATATATATATATATATATATATTCACTTGTGTCTTTTTACATTGTATATATATGACTATTAAAAATAATAGTCATATACAAGTAAAAAACATAAATGACTAAATATGTATAAGAAAACATTGATAATTAAATGTAAGCAAAATTAAGCATAAGTGTCTAAATATGTATTCAATCTAAATTATGATACATTTTTAAGACGTTATCTGAAGATTAAAAGAAATAATATGTATTCAATCTAAATTATGATACATTTTTAAGACGTTATCTGAAGATTAAAAGATTATTTCTTACTAGAATGTAGGTAAAATACATGACGAATTATGATTTATTCATATTTTCCAAATTTTAGAACTTTTAAAAATATTCTACGAAATGTAAAATGCTCGGTGTCAATAAAATTTTCCAATAAATTCCTTATCAATGTATAATTGTCGGTCGTATTACTGAATCCTCGACAATTGTAATGACCCAAAATTCTAAATAAAAATTTTATTTTTAAACCGGCAAAATCAATCATTCATTTATTCAATACTCAAATGAGATTCCTAATAGCTCCATAATGGATAAAGTTTCGAATTTTATCAATTAGGATGACCAAAACAACTGTAACGCCTCGTTCCTGGTATTCATTTAAAACATTATTTTTCTTTTTATTTTAGAAGCTACTCGACGAGTCAGTGGCCCTAACTCGTCGAGTAGCAGCGAGTTAGCACGTGGAGTAGGCGTGGCGACTCGACGAGTCCATATTTCGGACTCGGCGAGTCCGCCAGTCTGGATGAAGCCCTAATTTTAGGGAGTGTACCCTATTTAAACACCATTATAGCCCCAAACCAGCCTCCTTCACCTCTCATAGACTTATTCCCAAAACCCTAGCCTCCTTAAAGTGTGTGTGAGTGATTTTTGCCCTTGTGAAGGAATCTTGGTGCATTGTTGAGCAAGAAGAAGAAGGAGAAGGTAGAAGAACTCAAGGAAGAAGAAGTAGATCCAGATTATACTCCTCTTTGGCCATCCTTTCTGGTAATAAAGCTTTCATCTTGGTTATTGTATTGCTAGATCTAGTTTATCCCCAAATTGATGGTTTTGAGCTCAAAAACCCCAAATCCCTAGTGATGAAGCTTTGTAATCAAGCCATTTCTCGGATCTAGCCTCTCTTGAGTTCCAGGAGCTCAAGAAGGCCACCTTTTGGCAGCCATGGCCTTGTTCCAGACAAGTAACCCCCATTATAGCCAAGTTTGAGTGTTATTGCTTCATTGCATCATAGATACACGTAAAGTTAGCAACTTTACGTGTTCAGATTGTCCCAGAAACCTAGATCTATGAATTGGATGCACTGAAACTGATTAGAATCGACTGAATAGAATCTGCATGCAAAGGACTCGACGAGTCCAAGACAATCTTCTTCCCACAATAACAGACTCGACGAGTTGTTCACACAACTCGACGAGTCATAGACTAGACGTGTTCATATGATGAAGGAGGACTCGACGACTTGTTCATACAACTCGGCGAGTCAGATAAAGGTTGACTCGATGTTATTATAGAAGGAGAACTCGTCGAGTCTTCGCTAAACTCGACGAGTAGAGTCGGGAAAGGGAGTAGAAGGAAAGATAGGGACTCGACGAGTTGGCGGCCCAACTCGGCGAGTCAGGTCAACGGATTGTTGACTTTGACCAGGGGTAAAATAGTCATTTTACCCTAAGATTAGTTATCAATGTCTGATTAAGTGTCTTTTGGGAATTGTAGCCGAGGAGTTACCGAAACAGCAGTCAGACTACTCCCGAGGAGCATTTCAGTAGCCAACCTTACGAAGTGAGTTTCCTTCCAGTAGGAACGGGTCTACGGCCACAATATCGGCCCGTTTAGTTAGCAGTAGTTCCGGACTACAGTCTGATGCAGTAGTTCAGTATGCTTGGTGTCTTTGTGATACAGGCATGGGATGTGTTATGTGTTCCGGACTATGGTCCGATGCAGTATGCAGTATATGTGTTCATATTATATGCTATGATTATTTTATGCTATGTTCAGTCAGTTCCGGACTTCGGTCCGATGCAGTTCCGGACTTCGGTCCGATGCAGTGGGCAAGGCCCTAGTTAGTTCTGGACTTCGGTCTGATGCAGTGGGAGGGCCCTAATAGTTCCGGACTTCGGTCCGATGCAGTGGGCAAGGCCCTAGTCAGTTTCGGACTTCGGTCTGATGCAGTGGGCAAGGCCCTAGTTAGTTCCGGACTTCGGTCCGATGCAGTGGGCGAGGCCCAGTATGTGTTTTATATGTTATTGTATGGTATGTGGTAGTTTGGGGGAGCTCACTAAGCTTCGTGTTTACAGTTTCAGTTTTGGTTTCAAGTACTTCAGCTAGCAAAAGGAAGGGCTCGGGATGATGGCATGACACACACCACAGTTTTAGCCTGGGAGTTAGACTCGGATATTTTGATATGATCTTGACACTAGTTTCTATTTGATAAATTTATTACGACATTTTGAGATACACGATTCATGGTTTTATCTTTTAATAATTGATATTATGGTTTAGTAAAGTTTTCAAACAAAAATTTTTGGGTTGTATTTTTGGGATGTTACAAGTTGGTGTCAATACATTTTTCCAATAAATTCCTTATCAATGTATAATTGTCAGTCGTATTACTGAATCCTCGACAATTGTAATGACCCAAAATTCTAAATAAAAATTTTATTTTTAAACTGGCAAAATCAATCATTCATTCATTCAATACTCAAATGAGGTTTCTAATAGCTCCATAATGGATAAAGTTTCGAATTTTATCAATTAGGATGACCAAAACAACCAAGATCTAGTCTTTAAGCCTTAAATGGACCAAAAATGCATCTTTCTCAACTTAATTCATTAAGCCTAAGTCTCCAACCTTCAAATCTGAATCAATATGATGTTTAAGTGGATAAAGTTTCCAACTTTAACCATAACAATGTCACAAACTTTCAAGATCTAAACTTTATGCACTAAAATGACCAAAAAGTGACAAAGTTGACAAATAACTAGATCTATGAAACCAATGAGCAAGTTTGAAGCTTTTTACCTTCAATGGTCTAAAAATGAGGCAAACTTGTTGGATCTATACTTGAACCCTTCTTCCATACACTTTGCCACCACATTGTTCTTCAATATTTCTTCTTCTAAGGGAGAAATAAGCTCATAAATGATGTCAGGGCTCAAAATAAGAGATATGAGGCTAGGGTTTCGAGTTAGAGACTCAAGAGAGTGGAGGTTAATGATAAGAAGGACCCCAAGGGTTAGACACCTTAAAAAATGCTCAAAACCCCGAAATTAGGGTTTTTACATTGTGGAATTACACCATGCATAACTTTGGGTATGTTATGCATACTCCATTAATAACGTGCCTCATCCTCAACATGTATGCCTTGCGTACACCCTGTGTACTACCAAACTCCATTTGTATAACTTCAAACAATCATAACTTCTTCGTTTAACTCCGTTTTTGATGATCCACGGAAAGGTATCGACGATCCTCACAACTCTATCTTGTTAGATGACTAAAAATATCTCAAACTAAAATCCTTAATTTATGCAAGAAGCCCAAAACATTACCTTTTCCATTTTCCCCTCGGCTTCCATCAAACAATCTCAAGTTTAAATTACTTATCCAACATCATACACATCCAATAGAGTCTAAACTCCATTCCATTGAAGCCCAATGCCTCCATTTGATCCATTAATTGTCCATAATCCTAAAATAAGAACTTCTCGAAATAGGATGTTACAATTCTCCCCCACTTAAACTGGATTTCGTCATCAAAATCCGTCTTGGTTGGAATCTCTGAAAATAATGTCAGCTATCCCATGAGCTCCCACAAACCACTTCGAAATCAAGACATCCATACATAAAACTTGAGAGATCACACGAAACCTATAGTTGTCGACAACAACCCAATAACTTGAAAGTACTCGAACGCAACAACTATCTTTCGCTCCCTAACTGTAAAACCTAACTTCCAGAGAAACCACTCAGACCGGAAAACTTCTCAAAAACTGGAGCTACAACTAATTCCATCAATATCCTGAAATGAGAACTTCTCCATTCCATTAAAGCCCCGAACCTCCATTTGATCCATTAATTGTCCATAATCTTAAAATAAGAACTTCTCGAAACAGAATGTTCCATCAATAATGTTTTGTATCAATATTATATTGTAGTTCTGTTGTGTTGACAAAGATGTCAAATGTGTAATTTATGTATTAAGAGATTTTCTAATATATGATCTAAAGTACATATAAAAATTATCAATTATGAAAAAATATTAACATAAATAAATGTTAAATACATTTATTATGGAAATTATGAATTTTTTTCATATTTAATTATGTTAGTATTTCTTATAATTAATGCATTTCAGCTAATATTTATCATTAATTAAATGTTTTTTTATATTTGCCCGCAATTATTATAGAAAATCTCTTTCTTAGATAGCCAGATAAACGTCATTTAATCAGTACGTATGAAAGTATAAGTCAAGAGTCCCATTTGTGTTGGCCTTTGACGACTACATATAATCGGAGTGATGGCTCCAACTTTTGACAACTATGAAAGTCTAGAGGCATGTCGTGGCATCCTAAATTTATAATAATAGAAATTAAATTTTTTTTTTACTTTTCTTTCAAATTATATACTTATCTACTTATGGCTTCAAATATTATTAAATTTTAAAAAATATGTCACTTATACCGTTTTGAAGAAAAGTAGAAAGTACATTGGGGATGTGAGGGGGCCAAAACAACGACACCGGTTTTTTTTGTTAGTTTGGAGCTTTGAGTATCGAGTTTTGAGGATATTTAATTTTTAGGACCGACTATAAAAATGACAGTTTTAAAATACCATCATTTTATTATTAAAAAATAGATAAATTTATTAGTTGCATTTTCTAATATATTATTAAATTAATGTCCTTCTAAAATTTATAGGTTTTTTTTTTCTTTTTTATAGTACGATGTATGCCTTGGAATTTATATATAAAAATGATTTTTTTATGTGAATCCATTTAAAATGTAAAGAGTTTAATGGAACATGAATATGGTATTAGAACTATTAGGTGATTTTTCTCTAGAACGTTTTATACCTAAATTAAAAAAACAAATTTGATGTATATGTAGGAATGTCAAATTTTATATAGAATAAACAGGGTTAGGCCGTGCGTCGCACCCGGTGGAAATGGTAGTTGTTAGATTTTCCGTTAGTATAAAACATTTTGCAGTTTGTCATAATAAGGGGTGTTTGGCTTATTTTTTTTATTTTTTGCGAAGTGCTTATATCAAAAATCCAAAATCTATTTTATGTTCTCCAAAAAAGAACTTTTGGCTCTCAAAAATAAGCCAAACACCCCTAAATAATGCATGTTCAATATATTGAAAATGTTAGGAGACGGAGTGTTTTTCAAAACACATAATATATTTCATTATATTAGGCAACATTAGCACGTGATACAGAGGGAATCAAAAAACTTCATCATAAAAAACTACAAAAAAGGGCCAAAATATACACTGCCTAGCTAGATTAAAACGGGATGGAAGTATACATAAGTTATTCTACGCAAAAGAGATACCCATCCACTTGGTCCATCCACACACTACCATGTTTCAGTCGTCGGCCATGTTTTCGATAATGTCTTGGCATCGAGTGATCGATTTGTCAATCCCTTCCATTAAGTTGAGTAGAGTCGTCATCATGTCCACAACCAACATCCTTGGCTTCATTATAAGAACTTTGGAAAGGGAAGGGGTAGATGCTGCCTCCTTCATCAATTTTTCCTCCAACTCGACGACTAACTGAAGCTGTTTGTAGAGGAGCATTAGAGCGCTCTTAATTTGGCGATCTTGGTGGATGAGGGTTTCTATGACTTTTTGCAGTACTTCGTTGGTCATGTTGTGTGATGACAGAAGAGATTGTTGATGGAATGGTGTGAGTGGGAGTGGGAGGGTTGCCGATAGCTATCTTAATTATATAAGGATATTGCATGTATAATGTATATATGTGTATTTATTGACATTTAATTTATTAAGTGTTGGGTATGGTGAGGAGACCGGTTGTGGTGATTATATATGACGTCAGGCGGCGATCTTAATTCCAGTGCTATTTACGATACATGTTGATCATGACTATCTATTTTGTAGGCTTTTGGTAGTGAAGCGTTTAGTTTGCAATTCTTATTTCTATGGTTCTATTTAATGGATGGATAAGTCCCTTTTATCTTTTAAAAACATAATGTATATGGATTTTATTATGTGTTTTTAGGCTTAATGTATATGAATTTTATTATGTGTTTTTGGGCTTGTGTTACAGTCTTTTTTTTTTTTTTTAAATGTATATCCGTTTTATGTAATGCTTTTTAGGGAAGTTGAAGAGATTTGTTGCTGTATTTATCTAAAAGTTCAATAGGCTGTCGGAGATTTGTAGGTTGAGACTGTTGAGTATTGTCAGTTGTGTTTATGTTGAGTTAGAAGTTGGTAGATTTTTTTTAATTACTCATTTCATATTCGTTTTTTACATATAGCTATTCGAGTTGTTTAATTGTATTAGAAAGTTAATATATAGTAGGATGGTTACAGTTCAATACATAATAATAATAATTATCGCTTCTTTAAAAGGACGTTCTAGAATTTATTCTTTATCGAAATAAAAAAAATTAAAAATATCTAAATTCATAATTTAACATTGTTAATATTAAATATATTATTCACATTGTAAATCTTCATTGGAAAAAGGATAAAAATATTAATTTCTGTATTTTTTGTTTTTTTTTTATATAAAAAATAAGTTCTAAAAATAAAAAAAAAAGATTAGTTATCTTAGTTCTTTGGTTAATTATAGTTCTCTATTGAACCTCACCCTATACCCTATATAGAATGTAATATTTATCATTTAAAGTAAGATGATTTATTTTTCTTAAACGGGTAGGTATGGGCAACGCGAGTACGCGTTATTCCGACGTGGCTATGTAATAACTGCGGTATAACGCGCTGAACACCGCGCCCGGCTTGCGTTTTTAGCCGTTATGGTATAAGGTGTTACGATGGTAACGCTTGACAACGAGCATGATTTCGACGCAAATTCACTCCAACGTCTATATTTTTGATTTTTCAACCGTTGTAAAACGGTCAAAAATGTAAAAAAAAAATAAAATAATAGATTTTCAATCTTTTTACACCTATATATATACATATACATCAACCTGTATCTTTTATACAAACCCTTTTACTTTAAAAATCTTCAAAAAAAAATCTTTTTTCCCTACTATGAATCAAAACCCCAACACTCCTCCTCCAAACAAAAATACACCTCTGCCTCTTGGTTTTGCACAATACGAAATGTACGCGAACATTCTCAACATACAATGCAACTTTTTCAATCTCGCCTCACCCTCACCACAATTCACTACAAACCTTCCACAAAACATTTTCAACCCATTTGCTACAATGCAACAAAATACCACACAACCACAACCCACCCAACAAACTGTACCCGAGACGCAAGCGGGGGGAGAGCGGGAAAAAAACGGCCCAAAAAGGTAGAGGACGAAGGAAAGGGAAAGCGGTTGCGGTGGAGCAATCGGAAGACGAACCTCCTACATGGTGGACCGCGGACGAGGAATACGCGTTGGCGGTGGCTTGGTGCGGGACATCAAAAAATCCAACGCAAGGAAACGATATGCCAAGAGTTGCTTTTTGGGAAGCCGTGATCGTGAAATTTCGTGTCATTTTGAATAAAGATGAAGACTACCGCAATCACGACATGTTGAGTAGCAAGTGGACTCAAATAAGCAAGAAGTGCACCAAGTTCAATTCCATTTACAACAAACTTTCATCGCACAAGCAAAGCGGTGCGACCGATTTTGACGTTTATAGAGCGGCGAGGGAGCAATATCATGTCGAGACCGGTCACGTTTTTTAGCACGAAAAAATTTGGGAGATTGTGAATGAAGACCCAAAGTGGAATAAAACAGACACATTTACGGAACAACAATCGAAGAGGTCGTGCGGCTCGGGTTCGGTCGATGTTTCGGACGCACAGACGAACATCGACCTCAATGCGGACACGGATGAGATACCGGACGACTTGAACGACCTTGAAGAGATCTCCCCGCCTCGACGACTGATAGGCCGCGACAAAGCGAGGCGTGCTCAACGGCACGCGGATGAAGCCGAAAGTAGACGACGAGAGCAAGCCGAAATGAAACAAAAATTTGAGAGCACAACGAAATCGCGCGTAAAAGATATGAGTTGCAACGGGATCATTTTGAGTTCATACGTCGTGAAGCCGAGGACGATCGTATTGTGAAAGATTTGGCAATTCTTCAAACTAGCGAGGATAATTTGCCACCGAGACGGTTGGAGACACTCCGAAAAATGAAGACGAAGATTGAGCAGAAATATTTAGACGAAGATTAGTGTTTTTTTTCGTTGTAATGTTTTTTTCGTTGGAATGTCGTTTTATGTTTTTTCGTTGTAATGTAGTTTTTAATTAGTATTTATTTTAATTATGTGTTATTTAATTTATATGTTTTTTTAAAAATTATTATGACATAAATTAAAAAAAATAAAACAAAATAGAAAAATGGGAATTACAAACATAAAAAAAAATAGAAATGATAGGTGTTATTACATGTTATTTGGTGTTGCCCATTTCCACCTTGGGTGTTATAGCACCAAAAGTATGAATAGGATAATGAGGTGGACATTTTGGGTGTGATAACATGTAATAATATGTTGTCCACACCCAACAGCCTTATGCAATAAGGCTGCTGGCAATGGTATCATACATCAAATTTGTCAACGAGTGCATCAAAAATCGACATAAGTTATATACTTGTCATACCATTTTTTTTATAAATAAATTATTTTAAAAATAATCAATTTAACCAACTTAATTTAAAACTATATTTTCATTAAACTTCAATGAAAAAAATAGAATTTAAAAATAAAAAAACATGAAAATTAAAATTACCAAACCTAGATAGACCTAAATGATATCTTCATCGGAAATTGATTGTTCAAATCATCGACCGGTTTCGCATTAAGATCGATGTGGTTGGCGGTCCAAATATGTTCCGTCACGTCTCTACGAAGAACATGATGCATCTCAACATCATAAACTATTGCCCTTCTCGCCAAGTACTCCGCACTTTCAACCTCAAAAGCTTGTGTTGGTGGAACGATCTCGTTTTCGTTATACTCATATATTGCATTTCCTTCATCTTCGAGAATCATATTATGTAATATGATACAAGTATACATCACATCACTCATTTTCATATCCTCTAAATAAGGCACGTGATATTTAAGAATATGCCAACATTTTTCAAAGTACCAAATGCCCGTTCAATATCCTTTCTCGCCTTCTCTTAAGCTCTCATAAAATTCAACATTTTGCCATCATTTGAACAAGACAGTGACTTCACAAAACAAGCATGTTACAGATAGATCCTGTCCACAAGATAATACGCGTTCCTATACGGTGTTTCAGATACTTGAAAGGAAGAATATGGTGCAGTCTCTTTATACATGTCGTCAAATAATGGAGACATGTTCAAAACATTAATGTCATTGAGGGAACCAACAGAACCAAAGAATGCTGCCATATCCACAAATCCCCGTGAGGCCACCGTTTCAAGTATAATGGTAGGATAACCATGATCGCCTCAAGTATATTGGCCTTTATGGGTGTTCGGACAACAACTACATTCCCAGTGGACGCAATATAGGCTTCCCAACATTCTAGAGAAGTCGTGTACATTTGAATGATGAGCATACAACTGTTGGATGTCACTATAAGTAGGTTTGCGCAGATATTGTAGACCATATAATCTCATGACATACTTACAAAATTTGTGAAGACTTTTTTGTGTAGTACGTCAAGTGGCATATGCTAATTGACGAAGTGTAGCAGTGCATTTTTGTATAGGAGTAAAACCATGTAACACCCGGTTTCCAAATTGGATTGATTTAGGGCTTCAAGGAGTCAAAGGCATGGTTTTTGGGTAAAACCAAGGCTCACAACATGAACCATAGAAGGGTAACGGTGTGAGGAGTAATTAATTGAAGATGCTGAATTATGTTGAGTTCACGACGTGAGCAATAAGAGCTCACGACGTGAGATGTGCTACAGCCCAAGCCCATGATCTTTTAGGGTTTCCTTCGTATTTAAACCCCATAAACTTCCTTCTAGGGTTAAAAGACAACCTCATTCGTCCCTTAACTCAGAAAAAACCCTAACACTAGCCTCTTATTGTGATTCTTGAGCTTTTATGTTATGGATCTGAGTTTTTTGGTGTTTTGAAAAAGAAGAGAACACCATTGAAGCATAGTTTCAGCTTGGAATACCCATTTGCAACCTTTAGCTACCCTTTTGGACCAATGTGAGTAATCAATATCCAAATTTATCCAAATTTTATGTTTCTTTGTTGCTAGATTTAAGATTGTATGCATGATCAGCCATGGTTTTAGTGTTAGAGTGTTGGGACTCCATAAAGTTGCAACTTTATGGGTCCTTAAGGTCCTTTGGTGCTTGTATGTTATGGATCTGAGTTTTATAGGATGTTTGAATTCATGCTTGTGAAATTATCTCATTAATCTTCATGAATAACCTAACTTGAGCTCAAGTCTTGTATTGGATATATAAGACCTCAAAGCATCGATTTTTATGATCTGTGGAGTGTTAGGAAGCATCCTGGAACAGATGGATTAGTGGCTTATTGAATTAAGAAGTTTTTAGATCAATATGACATTTAGACGGATCTTACGACGTGAGGAGTTGCATGTCACATCATGAGGGTTGTGAGACTCGACTATATTGTCCTGTAGTAGCTCACGACGTGAGCCATAGATGGTTACATCGTGAGGGTCTGTTGATTGTTGACTTTTGTTGG